ACTTAGTAGGCTAAATGAATGAGTCTTAAGGCTTCAAGATAACTTCCACATATGTATTTTAAACATTCTCATTAAAAAACCATGTTATTAAAAAATTATAGGATAGTTTAGAGTTCAGAAAATTAGAAACTCCCAAACATGGCAGATGAAAATATAAATACTATTTGTCTAGAGAGTAATGAAAATCAAAGGTAGCAAAAGCCTTAAAAATGTGTACATACTTTGACTCTAAATGTTCCAATTTCAGGAATCTGCCCTGAGGTAAGTCCTAGGAATGTGTACAAAGTTTTACATAAAGGATAATCACCACAGTGGTGTATGTGCATAAAACAGTGAAAAACCAAAGACAACCTAATGTCCTGCAACATGGTTATAATTATGTACATTAAATAGCATTTATATGTGGGAGTACTATGTAGCCATTAATAATCAAGTTATAGAATACTTAATGTTAGGTAGAAATAGAAAGGCTACCAAATAGAATGTACAGTATGATCTCAAGTTTGTAAAGAAAAGGGGGAGGAATAAGAAGTGCTTGAGTGTATGTACATGTGTATGTTGTGGGTATGTTGTATGTGCATGTGTATGAGAGATTGAGAGAAAAGGCAAAGGCAAAGTCTCTATATTTTTTCCCCTCTATATTAAAAATTTTTATAATAAACACGTAAAAATTTTAACAACTGGAATATGTGCTGTTTTTGCAATGTTAATTTTAACTACGTATAAACAGAGTTGTTCACATGCTCCTTTAAAACTATTCTCTTTTTAGATAATCATAAAATTAAGTCAGAACCAAACTTCTTTTCTTAACACAGATTCACAGCCTGGAACCCTGTGGGTTTAAATGTGACATTGCTTTTGAAGGCAAACCAAGAACAAAAAGGTGGTGGGGTCCTTTAAAGGGAGAGTTTTTTCTTTTGTTATTCTTGTCACTCATTAGTTGTAGCATTACCATAAAAAACAATAAAGCATTTATCTGCTCTTTGGTGGTGGGTGAAGGTAATCTCCCACATGATTAAGAATAAACTCGTGGTTCAATTAACCAGAAACCAATAACCTGGAACATTAAACTAATTATATTTCCTTTATTGCCCCTTTAAAAGAAAAGACAAGAAAAATACAAGCTCAAATCAAGGATTCAGTCAAGAGAAAATCCCTGCGTAGGTCTGGGGTCAGTGGAGATTCATCTCAGTATCTAACAATGCCCTACAGTGATCAGGGACAAATAGAACAACTTGACTAACTGAGTCAACATATTTAAAAAATTAACTAAGGCACCTTCTTCTTGAAGGAATTTTTAACGAGGATGAAAATAAAAACTTCCTAGTAACACGCAGATATTGTGAAAATCCAATTAAACAGACCAGGACATCCCCCTGAAAATTCTGGCTATTTATAATTTCACTGTAAAATGAAACAAAGGCTCTGAAATTTATAGTCAAACTTCCTTGGAGAGTTTTAATTCATGCCTTTAATAAACTAAAACAAACACTTCAATGATCTGGGGGGTTTACCTGTCCAGCTGCTAGGCAAGTAAAATAATCTTAGGATGTGGTTTTATTCATTAGCTAGAATACGGAACGATTAAGATATAAAGATCCATGACCAAAACCACACAATTTTGTGGCAAGAGAAACTACTGCATTAAAAAAACCTTCTACACTTTACATGAAGACAATTTTACGGGGGGTGGGGGTGGGGGAGCCCACAGAATTCACAAATAATCAAAGGCAGCAATAATTACCATAGAGTTGGAAGGATAGAAACAGGTCATTGATATTGTTTGTTGCTTTCTTGACCCCTGGTCCCACGGTGGCTCTTGCTGGAGCTGGTGTGGCAGGTATGAATACAGGAGACCCTAAGGGGATCCGGAGTGGTCTCTATGGTCCAGGAAGATCTACACATCATGTTGGTGGTCCTTAACGGAATTATCTTTTTAGGAGATTATGGCTGCCTGGTACAATGAACTACTATCACACATACCTCTTCTACAAATCCTAAAAGGACTCATAAAATCCCCTCCTGGACACTGAAATCTCATTTGGAGAGTTCATCCACATCCCTGTTTGGTTGACTTTCCACTATACCAGTACTTAATGCCTATTTAATTAATTCTGAACTTTACCCACTACCCTTCAGCTTAACATGTCTGTCTACTGATATATCTCCCTTCTACAAATTTGAACTCTAGCAATTCTTCAAAGCCCTTTCCACTCAAAATCTGCTTTTGTTTCAATTACTGATAATCACAGTCCAGATATGTTAAAAAATACTCAGGGAGATCAACTAACTATCTTTCTTAATTTCCAGGACTATAAGCTTACACACGTTGCTATTATGCCATTTTTTCCTTGTGTATCTAACTCCTTCCTTTCCGACTCCTCTGCACTTCTGCCATCTAGCCCAGACAATTCTTGCTTGAAATACATCTATACCATTGGTCTTCTGCACAGAAGTAATTTTCCTCTGCAATGATTCCTGAATGCTGCCAGGTGTGCCCCCTTGGTGACTGATCACACCTGCCTTCGAATCCCTTAAGTGACTTCCCATTCTTCATTTCGACCTTGACTTTCAATCAGATTTCATGCATACCATGGTCTAGCAGTAGAATTGTAAGAACATAGTTTCCCCAAAAGAGACTGAGATATTTAGGGTCCTGGAAGAATCTATCCTTCCTCTTATTTCACCATTTCTGGGGTTGCTCAATTTTTTTTTCCCCAAGAGCTTTTGACTTCCTATCCATGATTTTGAATTTTTAGTATAAAGGCTGACACTTGTTGTTTCTGGCTTATACTGTTAAAATTTTAGATCCTTAATGAGACTTAATCCAAACTAATTTGTTTCTTAAAATTATTTCTTATTGGACCACCTCCTTATCACTAGTTACGACACACTATTCCCCGACACTTTTCTTTCTTCAAGGCCCAGTCAACTGATTCCTCAAAGCCCATTTCAAACAAATCATTCCAAGTTTTACTTGTTTTGAATTTATAGCAAGAGCAAGAATTTAACTCAAAGTGCATATGTTATAACCATAAACACTTAATTTACTCAAGAACGGAATTCTTTTCTGCCTCTTCCCCAATTCATTTAGCACAGTAGTAGGCATCTGTTGGTGGGTTATCAACATATTTGTTCACTTAGCCATTTTCCTCAACAGTATCAACACCATTTCCTGCTATCATCTGAGTAACTTTAGAAAACAGACCTCACCAAATATGCTTCACGTTAACAAACAGTTAGAAGCTAAGATGCCTCCTAAAGATCATGGTAAGATCCCTTTGATCATGGCTACTATTTACAGCTATGAGCCAAATGCTTCACAATTATCTCTAATCTTCCTTAAGGAAACTTAAGAGTCCAAGAAGTAACTTGCTTGCAGAGTTAAGTGGTGAAGCTAAGATTTGACCCAGGTCTGTCTGGCTTCAAAATCGAAGCTTTTCCCATAAAATTTATTCTGTCAACTTACTTGAGCTCTGAAGAAAACAGGGAGTTTTAACTTCATCTCTCAGATATGTATGCATCACAGTAATAACAAAATCCACTTTAGTAAATTCCTTAAGAACTGAAAGCTCTATGTACAAAATGAATAATTTCCTGTCTTTTACTCTGTCAGTACGCAATCTGAGGACATTTTCCTTAGTAAGATGATTCTTCCTAATGATCAATTTAAAATGATTTTTAAAATTCAGTCAACAATCTGAGTATACATACAGTAGCTACCAATTTTTTTCCCCAAATGTGCAACTTACATTTAGGCATCTTACATTAATTTCTCAAGTGTTAGTTGCTAGTATTACACTAGGGAGTGAACTGTGGCCATATCAGACCTGTTACAAAGCAAGTCTTTAAAAGAAACACATAAGCCAAGGGTTTCTCTAATACCCAAGATTCACTACTCTGAAATATTCCCTCTACTCCTTTTAATTTTTATATCCATGTCTAAATCCTACTTAAAATTTTTGCATCTTCTCCAGGCCTGACTCCTCACCTGTTTTCTCTGAAACACGTAGCCCCAGCGGCCCTGCTTTACCAAAGTAGATTAGGAATACAACAGACCATATCCAGAGAGGCAGTAAATTAGCAATTTCGGGCTGTGCATTTCTGAAACATGTAGTCCCTACGGACACTGCTTTGCCATAGGAATACAAGATTAGGAATACAACAGACCATACCCAGGAAGTCAGTAAATTAGCAATTTCTAGCTATGCGTCTCCAACTACATTGGCTAGCTGAGGCAGGTACTAGCCAGGGTGGCCACTATTATCCAACAAATTCTACAACGATAAAGCAATTTTTCGGCAAGTTGGAGACCGGAAACCACAGCCCGGAAACTCTGTACGCAGTCTTAAAGATAACGAGGTAAGACTTTAATTTACCCTTGTAGAGAGAACGGTGAAGGCCTACAGCACGGCAAGACGATACTTTCGAAACTGTCACTAGACTACTCAAACCGGAGTCTCCCGCCCAAAAAAGTGTGGCACATGGCAAGTCTAAACAGGGCCCCCCTCCAGGGCTCTTCTCCTCGGGAAAGATGCGTTGTGGCCGTCTGATCTATCAGACTGAGGAAGAGGTAAAACAGGAGCAGGAAATCCTGCCTGTTTATTTCCAGCTGCCCACAAGAGCGGGAAAGGTCGGTCTCTAGCCGGCGACGAACAGGGCCTCAGTCTCGGAGCCCAGCAAGGAAAAACCCAGGCGCCTCTAGCTCCCCGGAGCTGTACACTCCCGCCCCGAGCCTCAATCCAACTGGGGTTTTCCGTCTCCCCGTCCCACTCCGAGGCTCACCATCGCTCCCATTATCCCTCCACCACCCCGACCCGCGCAGGCGCAGTGGGAACCGGGGCCTACCCGCGCCCCCGAGGCGCCGCGACTATGGCGGAGCCGGAGCAGGCCGGTAGCAGCTCCGCGCCGGGCAGGCATTCCTCTCCCGTTCCCGCGGCCTCCCTGCCACCGCCAGGGCCCTGTTTCCACCCAGGTGGCCCCTCTTCCGCCCTCCTCACCCGTTCTTCAGATCCACCTCCAGGATCTTCCCGTAGCCCTTGAAGAAGCGCTCCACATCGCGCTCCCGGGCCTGGTAGCTCAGGCGGCCGATGTACACCCGCGGCATTCCGGCAACGGCGGCGGCAGCTTGGCCCGGCCCCAGCCCCCTTAGGCGGCGGCCGGCGAAGCGAGAGCGCGGCGACGGCGGCGGCAACGGGCGGGTGGCGGGACCGACGCAGCCGAACCCCGGCGACGTACGCGAGCACGCAGCTCGCGAGCGCGCACCTCCCGCTTCCCCCGCCCTTGCCGCAGGCGGAGGGTAACGGGAGAGAGCGCGCGTTCGCTTCCCGCCTGGCCAGGAGTGGAGGCGGGGCTTGCAGGGGGGCGCGCTGGCGTGGGGCGGGACCAAATGATCGACAGGCCGTGCAAGCGGCACGGGGCCGCCACCCGCCTTTACTCGGGCACGTCCTCTCGCGAGCTCGCCGTGACGGGTCTGCACCGCCTACCGCAGCCTCTGGCTTCGCCCCTCCCCGCGGAAGTGCTCGCGTTTCCCTCCGCCTAGCGAGCGTTCTTGCTTTTGTCCTTTGAACCTTGAGTCGTTGCGACTTTAGAGCAGGAACTTTGGAAATAAACTTGGTTTCTGACCGTTTACGTGTCCGTGACCGTGGGCTTGTTAGGCGCTACTTCCCTGTGCCTTGTTTGTCTTTTCTGTAAAAGGGGGATAGTAATTTGAACCATCCAGAGTTGTCTGGAGAATTATGAGAATAGGTACGTAAAGCACATAGTACTGTTCCCAGCACATTGCAAAAGTGCCCAATAATAACATTATGTTAAATATAGGACACTGCTTCAGTAGAAGTAGTGTGGAAAGTAGAGAAGGCTGGAGTTTGGGAGCGAGATTAAGCTTGACACTGACTAAATTACTTGACCATTTAAACCTACTTTCTAATTTGTGAAATTAGAATAATTTATGCCACCTCAATGGACTACCAGGATAACTAAATGGGTAGTGTATGTTGAAGAGCTTGGAACAGTATCTGGAAAGTGGTAGGAGCTCAAATATCGGTTCCGTTCTCACTAACCCAATTTACATAGAACCACAAGTTTTCTTTGCTTTTTTATTTTTAAAATTATATTTTGAAAAGGTAGTTCATTAACTTATTAATGATAACATTAATACACAGTGACGTCTTCCCATTTCTCCTCTGGCTGCCTAGTTTCCCTCAGAGGCAATCAATGTAGTCAGTTTCTTAAATGTCCTTTCATAGGTATTTTATACACATAAAGGAAATGGTAGTGTACTATACATACAGTTCTGCGCTTAGTATATTTTTAAAATCACTCTATGAGTACAAAAGGAGCTTCCTCAGGACTTTTTATGGCTTTTAATATACTATTTTATAAACGACAATTTAATGAGTACAATGGTTAAGGATGCCGAAGTAAATTTAAACCTTTTGTTATGACTGCTGTAATGAGTAACTTTGTAAATATATATATGTAGAATCTATTCCTAGAAGATAGTTGGGTCAAATGGTGTGAGCAAATGGAGTTTTGACAGATATTGCTCAATTCTCCATAGGTACCTATGTCTCCATTTCTTTATCAAGACGGTGTTATCAAACTTTATGATCTTTGTCAACCTGATCGCTGAAAAGTGGTATCTTGGGTAGTGTAAATTGAAATTATCTTGAATTGAGTGAGCCTTACTTCATATGTTTAAGAAATACTTATATTTTACTTTCTGTTCCTGTCTATATCTCTTGCCCATTTTTCTTATTGATTCGGAGCTCACAATATAAAAGGGAAATCAGTTCTTTGTCAAATGAGTTGCAAATATTTTTTCCCAGTTTGTTGACTTTTGATTTTGCCTGGTGTTCCTTGCCATGCAAAAACGTTAGATATTTATGAGATTGAATTTGTACATCCTTTATTTTTCTTTGATTCTGGATTTTGTGCTGTAGTTTGAAAGGCCTTCCCCCCTGGGTTTTTTTTTTTTTTTTTTCAAGAAAAAACACCTACCATGGTTTATTCTGTTACTTTCAGGGCTTATATTCGTATTGCAATCTTTGATCCATTTGGAATTTAGTAAAGTGTGAAGAACATAATATTCTTAAGAACTAGCACTAACCTTGGTTGTCATATAATCTGCTCAGCCTATTGTACAGATAGGAAAGAGCCCCACAGAGGAGAAATGCCTGTTTCCAAAACCTGCTCTGCTCGCAATCCCTAACTCTGGGAGTGGCACCTCCAACCAGCAAGGTGATGAAGTTGAACCTTCTACCACCACATTCAGTTTGCCCTTTGATTTTTCCTTTTAAATATTCATGGACCTATTCACTTTTCTCCACTCCCACTTAATAAGCTAGTTCAGGGTTTGCCATATTGTTCACACATTAGGGCTTTTAAGCATGCTGCTCCCTGACTGGAATATGGCTGGCTCCTTTTTATTCAGGCCTCAGACCTTCCTTGTCTACCTTATCTCAAGTACCCCATCACTATAACATTGTATTTTTTTCTTTCACAGCAGTTATCATATGCCATAATTACTTTATTCACTTCTTCACTGTCTTTCTCCACCACCAGAATGTAAATTCTCTGGTATCGGGGGCCATATTTTTTTATCTCCAGTTATATCCCTAGCACTTACGACACTGCTTTTCAAATAATGAGTGTTCAAAATATTTACTGACTGAATAAATTATCTGGACTACTTCAGTGGCCTCCTGATCTCCCCATCCCCCCCCCGCCCCCCTTTCTTTTCATGCCTCTCCATGAGACATAGACTCAGGGAAACCTGAATTCTTCTGATTGACATTTAATTATCATTGAACAAAATCAAGGAGTCCTGAGAAAAGAGGAAGCTCAAGGCCAACTGCGGTGGGGGGTGGGGGGGAGGTGCACAAAAGAATTGGGACTGGTATGGTGACTAGACAGGGTCAGGGGACCTGGCATCTAGTGCCACCTTTGCTGCCTGCTGTGATCTTGAGCAACTCACCTCAACTGACCTTGAGCAGATGAAGTGGTGATATTAAAATCTTAGCGATATAGGGAAATTGTAAAAATCAAATGAAGATGCAAGAACGTTTTTTTTTTCTGGGCCTCAGTCTTTCCCTTAAGAAAGCCGGCATAATTATCTCATCTCCCAAGGTGTAGTCATCAATATTACAGTAGTGGCTGTAGGTGGTGTAGGGTGGACGCTTCCCAGAAGACATCAGGGAGAGCTAGAGTCACTTAACCTCAGGTCTTCAGGTGTGCCCAAGCTTAGTTTAGGAGGTAATGCCTGTTTGTCTTTTTTAGGTTTCCTGTAGCCAAAGGTTCCTCCTCCTTTAGCCATAAAAAGGACATTGTTTACTTAGTGGGCCAGAAGACTTGTCCCAACCCCACGAAAAGATTATTCAGCCTGAAATTTAAAAACAAAACAATCTCCTGTACTTGTAAAGTATGATCCATTTTAATTCATATTCTCTTTTGATGTTGTTTGCTCAGTCTCCTTTCCTCCATGGCTTCTTAAATGTTGGTAATTCCTACATTGATCTTCAACATTTAAGGAGAATTTACTTATCTGAAATTCAGAAGCCCAAGAATTTCTGATTTTATCTCTTTCTTTAGTACTTCCCTTCTCCAAATTGACTCCCAACCTACTGCCAGAGGGATTTTTCCAAAGCACAGTTTCGATCTGGCTCAGAAATCTTTTGTTCCTACTGTCAATAGGATAAAGTCCACATTCTTCAAGTGGGAATCACAAACTGCCACAATTCACTTTTTCAGTTTCACGTTGATTGACTTGATTTCAGTATAAATTATAGGATATGTTATCAGTTATGATTAGGTTCAGAGAAAGCCTAAACATTAGGGGGTTAAATATCATAGAAGCTTATTTTTTTAAGTAAAACTTATTTCTCAAGCCCCAACCGAGGTGGGCAGTCAAGGCTTTTGGGTGTCAGGGATCCATTCTTAACACAGTCGAAGATGGCTATGCAAATTCCAGGAACCATGTCTGTATCCCAGCTAGAAGGACGGTGGATGGGGAAGAAAAAATACAAAATAGATGCCAGCTATATTTTAAAGAGGTTTCTAAGAAACCATACCTACCACTTCTGCTTACATCACAAGGGATGTCTGCTGCAAGGGAGGCAGGGAAAACAGTGTTTATTCCAGCTTACCACGTGCCCATCTAAAAGTCATTAGTTTTCATTCTAGGAAGAAAATGGATATTTGGGGAAAATGAGAAGATTCAAACATAAATGTACTGCCTCTATAACTTTGCTTTAATCTTTAATGCTTGTCTCCCTTCCCTGAGAAAACAATTATCCCTTTAAGCTCAGCTCCAATGTCACTTCCAGGCTTCTAGAGATACTGTTCTTAGGACATTCTGCAGGGTCCTCCACAAGGTCTCTAACCATGGGGTCATGAACCTTCCTCCTTCCCGTGCACCTCCTGGAAGTCTGTAACAAGGGCCTGCATGCTCTTTCTCCATGGCTGCACACTCATCACTCCCACTGAGCCCAACACTGTGGACTATCCCCCAAGAGCCTAATCTTATCTTTCACTCCAGTGGCTTTTGGGCAGCCACCCACTTCCTCAAGCTTTCACTTGCCCACATTGGCCATCTGTACAAATCCTCTGTCTCACCAACCTTGAGAATAGAGGACAGGGGAATGGGAGGGACTTGGGTGAGCTGGGGCTGATCCTGTGCCCAGGTGTACAAGGTGGCAAATCTTATCCAGAGGGCACCTGCAGACCTTCCCCAGCTCCAGGCTGAAGCCAAGTCCTTTCTCCAGAGGACACACAAGATGCTCCCAAAGGCAAGAGGATCAATCACGCTGGGAGCCTGTGTACATGCTGGTGTGCAAGTAAACCTGAGTGTACTCTGGCCTTCTGAGCCAGTGTTTCCACATCACTCCACTGCTTAAAATCTGAGCGCCTCCCCAGGTCTCAAACGTAAGTCTTGACTTCGTGACGCTTTGCTCTGACCGCTGTCTACTGTTTCCATCTCAGTCCTCACATTTCCCCCATCTCTTAGGCAGCAGCTACACTTGCCTGTTGGCAGTTCCCCAACTGCCAAGCTCTCTCGGGTCTCCAAACTCTCACATGTGCTGTTGGCTTTGCTTGGTATACCTTCTCCTGCTAGGCCTTCAAGATATGCTGTGACCACGCTTCCTCAGAGAAGCCTTCCTTAAACTCTCAGGTAAAGCTGCACTGTCCCCTCAACCCTGTGAACCCCTCTGTATCTGTCATTAGTATACTGTAAAGGTCTATCCCCTGCACTAGGCTAAGGAGCTAGGGGGCCAGCCTACATCTCTCCTGGGCATCCTTAGTCTCAAGCATACATGAGGCACCTAATAAGTATTCCCTGAATGAGACTCTTGGGCTAACGGACAGAAGGTCAGGTGATAAAGGAGACATCCCAAAATCTCTAGTTCTCTGCTTTGAGTGAGTGGATCATGAGGCAAACACCCAAAAGTCACATACTGTTAAACTCTTCTCTTTGAATTAAACTATTTTAAAGGGTGCACTTCTAAGCTTCATCTCAGGAAGCTTCATCTAAGGCACCCTGACCCCAGGCCTAGGTCAAGACCTTAGTTACATTCTCATGACACCTCACACGTGTCTTCTTTAGCACACTGATCACTATTGTGGGATTATTGGTTTAATGCAGGATCCCTCATCAGTGGCACTACAGCATTTTGGGCTGGATAATTCTGTTGAGGGAGGCTGCTCTGTACACTGTAAGATGTTTTAGCAGCATCGCTGACCTCTACCCACTAGATGCCAGTAGCACCCTCTCCAATATGCAGCCAAAAATGTCTCCAGACATTATGAAATGTCCCCCGGGGGTAAAATGACCTCAGGTTTAGAACCACCGGTGTAACATGTCTCCTCAGTGAGAACGGATGTTCCATGGGGTGGTCCCGTCTCCTGAGACCACATTTCCTTGGTTTCTCAGCATGGCACTCACTCCCACGCACGGCGGATCCTCCTCCTGCCTCAGACTGCGCTGGGCACCACTTGAGAATGAGTCAAACCTTCCTTTTTCAGAAGATTCTCCTCTGTGAGCTTGGGCAGCTTGAGGGCAGAAATCGTGTCTCACTGGCTTTTGTACCTGCCAGGCCCACCCCCGCTTTGCCTTCAGGGTATCAGGAAATGATTACTAGGGACGAATGGAGGACAGGCAAGAAGGGGGACTTCTTAGTCCTGGGAGATGACAGGTGTGCGGTGATAGTCCTTTTCGACAGAGATGACTTCTACTGGTTTTTGTCTGTTGTGTTTAAGAAGTTTAGACTTTATTAGATATCCCGAGGCTGACCCTGGGGAAAGCCTTGGTTGGCTTCACAGCTCTTCTAGTGGGAACAGACATTGAGGAGAGGAGCAGCCTGGGGAATGTCAAGAGCCTTGACTGAGGAGCCAAAACGTGTCCTGCTGACCCGTCCCGCCCCCACACCCTTCTGCCCCCTGCCCCGCACTTTGCTCTGGCTCCTCTGGGATTATTATCACATGATGAAAATCTGCTTTGACGATGTGAAGGGATGCATTGCGGTTTCCAAGGCATGGTTGTAGTCCTGCAGTGGGACCTCGGAGCAGGTGGGGGCTGTGAGCTTGCCTTGGTGGACGAGGTGGCACAGTGTAAGGATCAGCTCCTTAAAATGGTCTGTGGGAGGTCAGAGGAAGTTAGACAGGGGAGCAGCAGAGCTTGGCAGAATGGCACCTGTGTCACCCCCACTGGCAGGAGCTAGTGCTGAGCTCCAGGAAAGCCTTGAGAGCCCAGGGCTTGGCCACAGATAGGGCGGCTGTGGAGGTAGCCTCGTCTCCATCTGTGTTCAGGACAGCGAGGCCAGGGTGGGGACAGAGGAACATGGGGAGTGGCCCTAGGAGCTGACAGGCAGGCAGAATAGTGGCTACAATGGCTCAGACCCACAGAACCTGATTGGGGTGCAACCCGGAGTCCTGAATGGTGGGAGGGGCAGGATTACTTCGAGGTAGGGGAGCCAGAAGAGGCACAGGAAGGGAGGTGGGTGTGCCTGGCACACCAGTTGATGTGGAACAGATGAACTTTGCTCAGGGAAAGGACCTCTCCCTGAGGGCTCAAGGCTGGTGCTCTTAGAACCCCACAAGTTGAGATCACCAACATCCCCTTCCGCTAAGGACCCTATATGGTACAGGAAGATGAGAAGTGAAGGCATCGGCTGGGAAATATTTTTTCATAGACATCAATTCATTCAACATTCAAATCTAATTATATCCCCCTGCTTAAAACACTTCAATGGTTCTTGCCTTTATGATAGAGTCTGAACTCCTTAAAAAGGTCATAACCAATCTGTCTGGCTTCCCACTCTGATGGGCTTTGGCATGTGCTATTTTTTCTGCCTGAAACACCCCATTCACGCCACCCTTTTCCTCTTCTTCACTTTGATAACTCCATGTTATTCTTCAGTCTTAGCTTGGTGGGGGTCACTCCCTGGGGAGCCAGTCCTCCAGGAGAGGAAGAACAGTGTACTGGCTCAGGTTCTGGGGTCAGAGAGACTGGCTGTTCACGTTATGGCTGCACCATTCCCTAGGTGGGGTGACTCTGGGCCAGCTACTTAACCACTATGAACCTCAGTTTCCTCTTTTGTCATTAGGGCTAACAATAGTTTAAACTATTATCACATTTAACTGAGGGAGGGGGTGTTAGGTAACTTGCTCAGGTTCCACAGCTAGGTTAGGCAGAACCTCTAACCAGAAATGGTAGAAGCAGGATTTGAACACAGGCAAGCTGGCTCCAGAGTTTGTTCTCTTTACTCGGGGCGGGGTCTGCGTTGTTCAATGCTGTGCCCACAAGGACTAGCCCACTTTAGCCCAATAAGTATTTGCAGACTGGCTAGAGTTAGAGGCTGTTTTCTTTTACCCTGTTGTGGGGATGGGGGTCCGATCACCTCTCCAGGGCACAGAGTGGCTGGTCACTTCTGCAGTAGGCACTGGCCTTTTGTATGACCCTTGGCAACGGGGCCATCATCCACTCACCTGTACTGTGGTCCTTCTTCCACTGGGATAGCCAAAAGCCCCGAAGTTTGACATCTTTAAAAATGAACACGCTCTGTGGACACAGGAAGGACATACTGGGGCTCTGAGGGCAAGAACTTCAGGTACCACTTAAGGTACACATTCTTCCCCCCAGTGACAGGGGCACTGCCTGCACTGAGACAACTGTGGTGTCTGAGACCATCTCCAGGCCTGCCTTCCCCACCAGCTTACCACAGAAGCGATGACGGGCTGCTTGGCCATGCCCCCGTAGGTCACCATGGTTCCTCCGGGCCTGAAGAATCAGAGAGGTCAGGGTGGGTGCAGGCAGATTCGGAGCCCTTCTGGAACCTGCCACGGTGGTTCTATTGCAAGCCTGGAGCCTAAACTTGCTTTCAGAATCCCTGGGAAGGGTCCAAAAATACGGATTCCAAGGCCTGGCCCCAGACTTAATGAACCAGGAGGGAAGGATCTATATTCAAAACAACCCTTCGTCCAGACGACCTACATGTTTGGGCAGGATTGGGACCCATTGATTTCACCACCCAGTCAGGCTTTGATGAGGGGTTGCAACAAAGCCTGCTCTACTGAGAAAAGCTCAAGACCCGAGTTCAGTCGGCTCTACTCCACTCACAGGTATGCAACTATGGGCATGGCATTGACATAGGGCCAGATCGCCTGTCTTCCTCACATGCTCGTGCGAAGGATCAATGAGATGAAACAGCTATAGGCTAAGGAATGGTGTGGCTGGTCTAGAGGATGATGGCAATTGTCCTTTTGCTGCAGCAGGGGCCTTGCCAGGACCTGCTGCCTGAAACCCACAGCCAACCCAGCAGTCAAACGGGAGAGAGGATCATATAATTTTTAAAAGCTAACAAGCTAGGCCTTCACATGCTTGACTTACCCTTTGTTCCCGTCCCTACTACCTGGCTCTTTCTGGAGTTTGCTGATCAGGGATGAGTGAGGCTCACTTTGAGATAACACAAGGGAGACTTTGTAAACTACAAAAATGGAAGAAGTGCAAGGCAGGTAACTTTTTGTCCCTGAGGCTTTAGTCTTAAGTTCCCTTCAACTGCTACTTGTTCTAGAAAGTAGCACCTGGGGGTATGGAGCTCTTCTTTCCTGTATCCCCACTGTGTTTTGTCTAGTCAGAATTGATAACTTTTACTGGGCATTTTACTATGTGCCAGGCACAGGCCCGAGCATTGCACGTGCATTGGCTTAGTGAAGCCTCCGAGTAACCCCCAGGGGGCATTTTATTACCCTTATTTTGCAGATAAGAAAACTGAAGCCTGTCCCTCATTTGTATAGTGATTAGTGCGTCTCCTCAGTGTCCCTCAGACTAAACAGCTGAGCTAGAAAGGGTTTATATCCCCCCATTTTACAGGTGAAGAGACTGAGGCCTGGTTAGTTTTTCATGTATGGCCTAACTTTTCATAGGTCCGCAGCTAGGAAGTAGCAGAGCTGGGACCGGAACCCAGCCTTTTGGACTCCAATGCCTATGCTGTAACCTCTGGAAAAGGTTTCCTCCTCCAGGTGACATGGGATTGCAATCTGCCCTGGAGGTTACCCGGAGTAGGACTGGAGAGGTTTGTTCACAATACCTCAGGGTCAAGTCTGGCTCTGCTGCTTCCTAAACCTTGGGCAGGTAGGTAATCACCCTCCTGGGCCGTGTACAAACAGGGATGGAACAGTGGCCCTCGCCTAGGTGGTTATGGGAGGGGTACATCAAGCACTCTGCACAAAGTCCTGTGCACGGTAACGCTCAGTGAGTGTTATCACAGCTCTTTTAGCACATGACCCATCTTCCCACTACCCTGTGAGTTCTAGAGGGTTCCCTCAGTGTCTCAGCCAATTCTGAATCCAGTAGCTAGTAAGTGCTAGCAAATATGTGTCAACAAATGCTGTTTAGGAGATTCCTGCTTTAGCTGGGAAGTGTCCTTTTGGCTGTTCTTCAGCTTGATAAGTTTATAATAAAAGAAAAAAAAATGAAAGACATGTACTGTTAACACTGTCAGCAGAGCTTCTCCCCCTTGGTAGTGGGATGATAGGTAATTTTTGTGCTTAATTTTTCCTTTGTACTTTAATATGCTTTCAAAACGTTTTGTATTAAACACAATGTTACCTCTAAAATTAGAATCTATTTTTAAAAGCTAATAAAAAATTTAAAAGCTAATAAGCTAGGACTTAGTGACTTTTTAAGATGCCTCCAGGTTATGAATGTTTACCACTCCCCTATCACAGAGAGCCTCGCAGTCTACTTCCGGGGTCCCCTGGAAAAACAAAGCTGGATGGGCCTCTTGGTCACCAATAAAAAAGGTGGTTGAGAAAGGAAGTATCCAGATAACTAGGACATGACTGTGGTCCCAGTTTCCTACTTGGGGTCATGCTGACTTGGCCTTGGCTCGCCTTGGCCATTGGGACTGGTCACTTGATGGTCCCCCCACCTAAAGGCCTGGAGAGCGCTGGCAAACTGGACTTGCAGGGCCAGGTGACTTACGCCAAGCGCTGCAGCAGCTCGGTGGAGCTTTTCCCACCGACGCAGTTGAGAGCAAGCCGGGGCCGGGGCACATCCTGGAAAACAAGGAAACTGCAGTGAGGGAGTTCCACATGGGCCCTGAAGCTGCTACAAACAGCACCTCCCTGCCCCAAGTGCTGTGTCAGAAGGAGGGAGTAGAGAAAAAAGATGTTCATGCCTTCGAATTCTCTTTTTTCTCTGCCTGGGAAGGGCCTTTTCTTTACCAACCCAATCCCGCTATCTGGTTAGGAATTTCGTCCAAAAGTCACCTCCTCTGGGAAAGAACAGACAAAGGGCACCTACAGTCTGTTTGGAAGGACTTCATTTCCCTGACTGCATCTCTTTTCAGCACTTAGAATTCAGTTTATATTAGATGTGCTGATCTACTGCTTCGTAAATGTTCTCAAGAGGTGTGGCTCTCAAATGAGTGTGTGTTTGGTCCCTCCAGAGTTCAGTGCGAAGGGGCTGAGATGTGGTTTGGTCACTTACTAGGTGTGCTAGAGGTTCTGGTCACTTAGAGGTTATGGAAGGTTAAGAGGCTATGAGTTTGGAGAGACCTGGGGCTAGCCCTGATTCTACCGCTTACAACGGTGTGGTCTCGGTCAACTCCTTTATCTTCTCTGAGTCTTGGTTTCCTCATCTATGAAACAGATAGCACCTACTTTGCAGAGCTTTTGTGGGATTATCAGATATAAGGTCTGTGCCTAGGAAATATTACTTCTTTCTTTCTCTTCCCTCTTTGTGCCTCAGTTTCCTCAGGCCCTCTCCCAGCTCTGAGATTCAATTCGCGTCTGCTATGTGGGCTAATGTGGCTCACCACAGATATTCAAAACTGTCAGTCATACAGGGTTTTCTAACCCATCTTCTCTCCTGCCTTCCTTACAGCATCTGGGCACTTGATGCGTGCTGTCCCCTGGCTGAGGGATGGGCTTTATTCTTTCATGAAGAGACAAAGGGAGGATGTGAAGAGGAACAAAGCCAGTCTCCAGCTTTTCTAGTTCAAGGCAACTGTCTTCAGGGAGGTGAGCACGGAATGGAGGTGCAACGTCCCTCATTCTAGGTACCTTAAAGAAGTTTTTCAGCTCAAGTTTTCTTAGCTCTTCTTCTGTGATTACATACTCAGCCCCTAGATTCTTCAGTCTGTCAGTCAGCCTATGGATGTCAGGTCTGGAAACCAAACACAATTTTTGGTCATATCTGCTCACTTTCTCCACCAAAGATTCCTTGGACTCTGCCACTGATGTGAGGTGAATTTCTCTTTGTGGGAAGCTAGGATCGGGTTTAAGCCAAGCCTTAAGCTGGGGCTGGCCACCCAGTTTAATCGTACTCCAGCATTTCTTGGCCTTGGTTTTCTCGCTGGCATGAGAAAGCTAGACTGGGTGATTTCTTTCTTTAAAAAAAAAAAAAAAAATATTATTTTTTGGTGATGTTGGCTAATGAAATCCAGTAAGTTTCAGGTGTATATTTTAACAGTAAGGCATATATATATTGCATTGTGTTAGGCTGAGTGATTTCTATAGCTCTTGCCAGCTCAAGGATGCTAGAAACTATCTGTGCCCAGGGAGAAGTCATTTCACTTCCTGATTTTTTCTACTGAAATGACAAACTCCACATCCTTTCCATCCTCTCTCTTAGCAAGAGGCTCTTCAGAGTGTTGTGCAAACACACTCTATCTAGGAGTGGCTTGAGGCCTCTTTGGCCAAGGCAAACAATAATTTTGTTAGCACAACTGAGGGGATAGAGAACTGAAGCGAGTATCAATTCTCCTGCTAAGACTGGACTTTCATGACAGACATGGCCATACTTGTGGACAGTGAGGTTCAAGGAAACTGGATGATATGATGAAAAGAGAACAAGTCAGGAAGCAGTCTGTTACTGACTTACTTTGTCTCCCTGAGCAAATTGCTTCCTTTCTCTGAAACTTCAGTTTCCTCATCTGTGAAACAAAGTTGACAAACCTGCCCCGTCTCCTTTAATCTGTATTTAGTGTACTTCAAAGTACCACACAAAATGCAAGGGAAAAGGGCCCTCCATTAGACAGTTCACAGAAAGAGTAACACAGTTTACAACATTCCCAAATATGAACTGTGGTTTTGAAAACATGGGGTTATCACAAGTCAAGAGTTTCAAAAACTCCTAATGTTCAGTAATGGCCATCTCCACTTCCTTTCTGCCCTCCTCCTGCATTTCAAAGATCCACAAATCCTATAGCCAAAAGCCACCTGGACTTCATTTCTTGTGGCTGACTCATCCGTGCGCAAGCTGCATCCTGCCCAGAGAGGCTAGCTTATGCAAGGGCGCCATCTGGTGGAGAAGCAGGTTGTGAGGTGGAAAGGCCCAACTCCAGATTTGAGATTCCGCCTCCCCACGCACCTGTCTCGGACCACATTGATGGTCCTCAGGCCCAGGGCTGCGGCGATCTGGATGACTGCTTGCCCTACTCCACTGTTGGATGCATTCTGGATGACAGAATCCCCTGTGGAGCCAGGAAGAGACCAAAGTCAAGCCCTGGAGACCTGTAATAAGTAAAGGGCTTCCAGCCTGAGATCCTATTATATAAAGCAAGAGATGGAATGCTCAGGCTCAAAGGGGACCCAGGATCTGGCTGTTGAGCCTTCTCAGACTTGGAATGTTGCACACTCTTCTCCCAATGACTCCAAACTTCCACAACACCTATGGTGCCTCCTAAGACTCAGCATCTCAGTCTACACTGGATGTAATTTAGACCCTGCTGTGTAAATGATTACATATCCTTTATCATCCTCCTCCAATTTTTATGTCCTAAAGTCTCTGCTTAGGTTATTTTTTTGGTTTGCAATGCTTTTCCCTCTCTCTCTCCCTTTGTTTGAAATTCTATATATCCTTTGAAGCATAGCTCAAATGTGGCTCCCTTCATGAAGCCTTCCCAGATTCTTCCCCCTGTGCTCCCACAGCACTCTGCAGGCATCTTTATTAATATACATGGTCTGCTTTTTCTTATACTTGGTTGTATATAGGTCCATTTGTATGAAGAGCTTGAAGCTTCTTGAGGGGAAGGCCATGCCTTATTTCCTCTCCGTACTGCTTAATAAAAGTGACATGCCTTGAATTGGGATTGGAGCCATATTGGAGAAACTGGCAGCCCCTGAAATAGGGTCCTATAGAAGGTTTGTGGTCTGAGCCAAGAGCTAGCTTTGGAATTAGTCAATGGGGAGGCAGCGTGGCATGTTGGGAAAAATGCAGGCTCTGGAATGAGATGGACTTCAGTGTGGGTCCCAGCTTCACCACTGACTGTAATTGAATGAGATGGGGCAAGTCATGATCTTTTTGAACCGCAGTTTCCTCTCCATAAAATAGGAGTCTTATGAGCACCAATCAGGATGCTCCTGATTAGAGTCAGTGCCGTCATGTCCAAGAAGGTACTCTTGTTACCTCTGAAATGCTATATGGGTTTTAAAAGGCAGCAGGATCTGGTGCTAGAAATGGAGGACTTCCTGGAAGAAGGACACCCATTCTTCTTAGCTGGGGTCAGCATACAGGTTGTCACTCATTAGTGGGTTATGAAACGAATGCAGTATTTTATTTTTTTAGTAAAAATTGAGGAAAATAGAATACAAAAGAGAGTGCATCACAAATAGTAAGGGTAAATATTGTTCAATGAAACTTTGGTTTGTCTATGTACTGAATATCAATGTGTGTAAAGTATAATTCTCACAGTGGGTAGAGACCATAAGTTTAACACTACTCTAGTCCAGGTCACACCAGCCCCAAGGCAGAAAAGTGGAGAGATGAATTGTGGGCATCTGAGGTGGGGTGGTGTCAGAATGCTCTTGTGCTCACCACAGCAGTGGCCCAAATCAGGGGTGGCCTAAAGGGATGAGACACAGATGACCAAAATGTCTGCTGCACTAGGACTCGAGGAAAATCCCTGGTCACACTGCTGGCTTTTCCACTGAAGTTTGCTAGGACTGCTCTGCTATAGCTGTGAGAACCTGCATTTCTCTTTGCAGGAAGCTGGGACTGGACTTCAGCCAGCCTTGGGCAGCAGCAGCCACCAAAGTTTATCAAATTCCAACATCTCTCAGCCTCAGTTTCCTTAGCATGACAAAGCTAGACTGGGTGACTTTCATGGCCCTACCGGCTTGCACATATGCCCACAATGGGGCATGAGAGTCAGTGGGTAACCTCCCATCATTTGGAGGTCAGTTCTGAGGTGGGTTCTGGGAGGGTTGTTAGAGCCCCCGCCCACCTCCCCAGGACTGAGTCCCAGTCACACGCAGTGGGAACCCGCCTTTACTGCCTTCTCTTTCCCGGTCTTGCTCTCCCGATTCCCTCACTCCTACTTCCTGGGATCACCTCCTCAGTCTCAGGCTCTGCTTTCAAGGAACCCCAAATAAACACCTGGCTTTGTCATTTCCTGGCTAAGAGATCTCATGCAAATAATTTACCCCCTCTGGACCTTGGTTTCCTTATTTATAAAAAGGAGGAATAATGAAAGCATTTACTGCACTGTATGCCAGGCCCTGTGCTGTTACATTGCAGTGTTTCAGCTAACCTTCAAACTCTTTATTCTCCATTTTACGGATAAAAAACCTAGTGATTTGAGAGGTCAGCTCACACAGCTAGTGAAAGGTGAAGCCTGGGGCTTGAGCTCGTGAGCAATGCTACCAACTTCACGGCACTGCTCTGACGATTTAATGCATTCAGTGGGGTAATGTGTGTAAAGGCACTTATGTAAACTGGAAAGTGCTGTAGAAATGCTGAGTGGAATTACTAACACTAAGTTCAGCATTTTATTGAAAACACAGGGACTATGTCTATCTTGTCTGGCTTTGTATCCCCAGTGCTTAGCACAGCACGATACGTTTTTGCTGAATGACAGAATTCCATCCCAAGCTCTAGGAATGTGGTCCTTCAGCAGTTTTCCAGAGTGTATTCCTCATGAGGTTTCAGCATGTTTTCTAGGAACCAAGCTAACATCTTTCTAAGCAAAAGTAACAACAACATACTCATCCCGCTTAGGGGGCCCGTCTTCCTCTCCATTAGGTTCCTAAGGGACCAGGACCTCAGGACCAGAATTTGGGTCACACCCCAGTCAGGAGATCCTGGCCTGCTCCTCTCACCTGCAGCTTCTTACCTGGCTGCAGCTGCTCAAAGTCCATCAACATCCTGTAGGCTGTGCAGGGATTGACACTCAGGGTGGCAGCAGTTTGAAGAGGGATGTCACTCGGAACTCTGATCAGTGCTTCCTCGCTGAACACAGCCTCGGTCCGCCAGGTTCCTGAGTCAGGATGAGTCTAGGGCAGTGAGGAAGGACCCTCCCCTCCGCACTCAACCCCAGTCCACCCTCCTCAGTAAATGGGCATCTAGGACAGCAGACTTCAAATAATTCTTAGAGAAAAAGAAAATCTTGAAGTCTTTTTGAATGCCTTTGAGTCTTCATGCTAATTAAGTAAGGTAGATTTTGTCACTGGCACATTTGTTACTGTTAAATTTAGCTAACGTCACCCAGCAGGTGGCTAAGGATCTCAAACTACTGGACTCTGAGGGTGAGAGTAACATGACCACCAGGGCAGGGGAGGCTGAGAAAGCCCCCATTTTCCTACTCAGTTCTCCTTCTTCTCACCTAGGGCAGGTTGACTTGGGGTGAGATTATGGAAAAAAGCATGAAAGTAGAAGTTGAAGGCCTAGGTTTGGACCTGTTAATTTGAGCAAATCCCTAAGTCACTGAGTTTTGGTCACCCTACTATGTGAATGACATTGGCAGGAAGAGCCTAACTGGCCTTTGAGAGCTGCTGTACAAATTAAATAAAATCAAGGAAAGGAAAAAATCCTGTAAACTGGAAAGAAATGGTCATTAACTCCCAGCACACATTCCAGTTCTAGACAAAAGAATTGTAAAATGTCAGTACTGAGAAAGCCCTTAAGAGTATTGAGTTTAACCTCATCATTCAACGGGGCGGGAAACTGGGGAAGTGACTTGACGAAAGTTACCTGGCTAATCGGGGCTGCCTCCCTTCCGTCTACATACCTACTGTGAGCCAGGCACCTGAACAACACAGACGATTACTTACTTTCAGGGAGCTTTCATTCTAATGGAGTAGAATGAATAAAAACAAACAAGCAAACAATAATTATAAATTATAAAAAGATACAGAAACAGTGGAGAGAATTACTTTAGATGGGAATCAGAGACACCTTCTCTGAGGAGGTAACAAGTTAAGAGTTAAAGATTAGAGATGATAGCCACTCAAAGAACATTCTAGGCAGAGAAGAAAGCATATTCAGAGACTCTGAGGCAGGACAGATGTAAGAATGGAACTGGAAGAATACACACTGGAGGGCAGAGGCTGATGGGAAGAGTGATTTGAGATGGGTTGATATGTCATAGGCTAGATGAGTGTTATATAGAATTTCATGATCTTGACCTATAGAAACCACGAGTTATGTTGTAACTCGGTACATAAATACACACACACACACACACACACACACACACACACACTTTATCTATCTCTATCTATCTATCTATCTATCTATCATCTATCATCTATCTGTCTATCTATCTATCTATCTCTGAAGCCAAATTTTCATGGAATAATATTTACCGTATCTTCTTATTCTTTATTCTATTGTTTGATTTTCACAAAAAAGAAATGCTGTTTGCAACTCACTAGATTGATTTAGCTAACAGGTTACAACATGCAGTCTGCAAAACACAGGGCTTAGGGTCATGGCATGGAGAATGAATTTTATTTTAGTGAATGGGAAGGTTCTAAGTAGTTTTAAGATAAGTCTGATGAGGTCGGATTTATGCTTTAAGACCACACAGTTGCTGTGTGGAAAAGATGGTGAGGTGGTGAGGGGTGGAAATGGGGAGGCCCACTCACGAGGCTTTTGCAGGGGCTGTGATGTGAGATGACAATTGTCTAGACCAGGACATCAGCGGTGGGGATGAAGAGAAAGTGATGGATTTGAGTTATCTTTTGAAGACAGAATCAACAGGGGTTGATGAGCACTGAGGGGCCTTTGTCTATGTAAGCAGGATCCCATAAAAAGCAGAGGCGAAGAGGACAGACGTTGGAATCAGACAGACACTTATTTAAGCGCTGGCTCTGCCATGCATTTGCCAGGTCACCTTAGGAAAACTACTTGAAGCTTTGCTGGCTCAGTGTCTGTGATGTCTCAGGGCCCTTGGCCTATACTTCCAAAGCTCTTGAGTGTGCACTCACTATCCAGTTGCTGAGATTCTAACAGTACCTTGGTACTACGTGGCCCAGATATGGGGAGTAGAGGGCAGCCCAGGCGACTACAAATTGTGCTGCAGGAGGGGAGAAACAATGTGGGCTTTAGGAACCAGGAATTTGAGACAGAAGGCAGGAATACTCTTTATTAAAGGCCGTGTCAATCCCAGAGCATATCTTTGGCTGAGAAAATAAGAGGCTGAAAAACTGAAGGATTCCTTTGGAACCCAGGAGGGCCTTTGCGTTCTCTGGGCTTCACTCAGCCTGGTTTTCAAAGCATCATCATCCTCTTCATAATCATCACCCCCTTCATCTTAGCTAACACTTAATGTACTCTACTCTGGCCAAATGCTTAGTACGGCTTTTATGCATGAAATCAAGTGTGTCTTCTAATTCCCCTAGTTGGCACAACAATGAGAACTCGGCCCTTGACATGGGTTTCTGGGACTTGGCAGTCCCTACTCCCCTTCTCGAGAGGACCTGGGTGGGATGGGAGCAGCGCCCACGGTCAGCCCCAAGGGCTTTCATGGCTTTAAAATAGAAACTCTTAGACTTTGCATTTGGAGACACGTGCTTAAAAACTCAGCTCTGCCATCCACTAGTGGTGTGACTTCAAATTCTCACTTCACCTTTTTTGATTTTTACGTTTCCTTGTCTATGAAATGCAAAGAATAACACTCATGTCATAGTGTGAAGATTAAACGCGATGGTATTTGTACAGACTATCACTGTGCCTAGTACTTAGGAGGTGTGTAACACCCCTTCGTTCCCTTTACTGGTTTTAAGTCTCATGCCCTAGCTCTGAGGACTGCTATTTCTCAAGCATGTGCAACTGACCCATAACCATCTCCATCATCAGCAAACATGCAACCAAATTTGGCTCACCAGATTTGGTTTTTGTAAACACATTTTATTGAAACATAGCCATGCTCACTTTTTATGTACTTATAAAAGCAGAGTTGAATAGAGGCAGTATGGCCTGCAAAGTCTAAAATATTTACTAATTCGCCCTTTAAGAAAAAAGTTTGCTGACCCCTAATCTAATGCATACAGAAATTTAGTGTTTGCAAAGATCGCTGCATGCATTCCCTCAGCTGAGCTGCTAACAACAGTTGGTTGAGGTATGTGAAGTTGACTTGGCTCCATTTTAGAGATGAGGAAACTGAGGCTCAAAGTATTTGTGACTTAAACAAGGTCATATACGGGAGGAGGAAGGAGAACCCACATCTGATTTTAAGGCTAGTGCTCTTTCTTCTGCCCTGTGCTGCCTCATGGGGGTTTTGAATATTTCTTACGAGAAAGTCAGTTGGCACATTCTCTGGTCCAGTCTCCCCTGGGACTGGTTGGTTGCATGTGACAAAAAGCTGGCTATGGGCACAGGAACAGCTGGGCACCTCAGTACCATGAAAAATGACGAAGATCTAGCTAGCTGAGGACTTATCTGCTTAATGATTGCCACTTTTATTGAACTGCAGTCTTTACTAGACTGTCATGTCTGTCCACTGCTGTATGTTAGAGCTCAACACATTGCAGATGCTCACTAAATGTTTATTGGATAAACTAAGTTAATTATAGTCCTGGCAATTATCAAGTCCTCATCCTCTGTGACTGGCACCTGGTTTAAAAGACTCACCTTTTCTCCAGAGAGAAATCCTTAGTCTAGCTAATACCACCATCACCACCCATGCAATTATCCATACATCTGGCAGATTTGTCCTTTAGTCTTCTCTCCAAATTTATTTACCAAGTCCTGTTATTTTAGATCTTAAATCCACCATCTTCTCTAGTCCTATAGAACTGTCTTGTTCAGACGCTCATCATCTGAAGCTTGAACTGTTTAGCTACCTTCTTACTGGCTTCAGGCCTCCACCCTCTGCCCTTTCAGAGCATTCCTTGCACTGACTGGGCCCCTGACTATGCCTCCAGCCTCATCTTGCTTCTACCCCGTCTCTCCTCTGACTCGGCCACACTGAGCTACCTGAAGTTCTGACAGTGCCATGCCTTCTCCATCGCCAGACCTTTTCACATGCTGCACTTCCTGCCTGGGAAGGCCTTCCTCAACCAGCCCATTGGCTGCACTTCTACTGTCTTCCAGATGAAGTTCAAACATCACTTCTCTGGGAAGCCTTTCCTAATGCTTCCTGAGATAGGAGACTCTTGCCTTTGTGTCCATGCTGTGATTATAGCACTTATTATATTGCATTGTATTAAGTGTTGTTTTTCCATTCTCAGCCAAGAGCATTTTGTAGGCAGAGTCTGTGTCTGACCCATCATGGATGCCCTTCACTCAGCATAGGGGCTGGCCTGAAGCATCAGTCAGTATCCAGTGAATCCTTGCAGCTCTCAATTCACTCCCACAGTTAGGCTCTTTCACTGTCAGGTGGCTATTGGGGAGGGTGAAGCCGTTCTTGGCAGCTTTCCTGATCTCAGAGAAGCGAAGAGCTTCTAGTAGACTTCTGTTACTGTTTTCTTCCTACCTGATACCTTTTTCTTTCTAGGACTACTCCTTCCTAACCTCTGGGGCTATCAACCACAAGGCCTTACCTTCTGTACCACAGGGGTGGCAAGAGACTCAACTAGGCAACTGGAGTGGCCAAACCCCATCTTCCCGGCAATTGGTTCATGGATGGATGGGCAAGGACCCAGGCAGGTTTGGTCAGAGCCCTCTGGGCAATGAATACGGTTATCCTGAACGGATTGCGGAGGATGTGCTCGTTTAGTTGTTCTCAGGATGATGTAAACCTCAGGTTGCTAGTGATCATCTATGCCAGGTATATAGCAGAGTGTGTTAGAATCTCAGCTCTGCCATTTATTGGCTGGGTGACCTCAGGCGAGTTGCTTAATCCTTTATATTTATTGTTGTTTCATCTGCAAAATGGGTATAATAAGAGTATCTATATCTACTTCACGTTGTGGGTATAATAATTGAGTTAATATATGTAAAATACTTAGAACAATTAATATATGTAAAGTACTGATGCAAAGAGAGTGGTCACTAAATATTTGTTTCTGTTACTATATCACTATGTGGGGAGATCTCATCCGAGAACTAGAAAGAACAAGAGAAAGACAGAGCTCTGATAACATTGGGGTTCCTGGATCCAGCTCTGCCTGAAGCTTTCCATTTCTTGTACTTCCCAGTTCCACAAACCCATTAACTTTTTTTGTAAAGCAAGTCTGAGCTGTCTCTCTGTGAGTTATAACCCACAGGGTCCTAACAATAAGGTGTAGTGGGAAAAACAGAGGGAACGAGAATCCAGTGAGCTCTCTTTCAGTTTGCTGTTTAAGTTTGGCCAAGGGCTTCTTTTTAATCACATATCCAAAAGGGATGAATAATGTCTGCCCTGCTTCTCTCTTGTGGCTGCTGTCAAGATCCATTTGTATAATGTTTGTGCCTCCAAAACCATCAAGTGTTAAATAACAAAACTCACCAATGACTCTTCACTACATATAAAAGGAGACCCTAACTCTTAGCTTGGCTTTTGCAGGGCCTCCCCCCATGTGGCCCCACTACCTTTGTGACCTTCCTTCTCACTTATGCAGTCCTCTCCCATGTGCACATCCTCTGCTGAGGCTACTGGATTTTCCACCATTTCCCGAACTCGCCTTTGTGTCTTTGCTCATTTGTTTCCTCCAAAGGAAACAAATGATTTTAGGCTCATTTCCACCTAACAAAATTCATTTATCAGAGTTCTGGTCCAATGAGCCTCTTCCAGGAAATCCTGACCCTTCCCTAAGACTCCCTCCCTCTGTCTCTGTGTCTGTATCTCACTGTCTCTCTGTCTCTCTCACTCACACACACACACATACATACAAACACATACGTGCACACAGAGTAGCCGGAAGTGCTCTTTGCTTCTTGTGAGCTTGTAGGGCTCCTTTTATTTAAGTTACTGGTTTGGAGATTTCTTTAATAAGATCTTAACCTCTTGGAGGGCAGGGGCTGTCTTTGTTTTGTTCCTCATTGTACGTTACTGCAGGGATTTAGGGATATAGGGATTCAGAGAATTACAGCTTTGATCAACACCAGCCCAAGGAGATGAGAGAGCAGGTGCATCATCCTGAGCAAAAGAAACAGAATCTCTCCTGGAGTAGGTATGTGGACTTAACAGTAAACCCCACATTGCTTAGTTGTTAGTTACACTGAGCCAATTAGCAAATGTTTATGGTAGAGGTAAAATAGGGTCTAAAACAATGAAAGGCTGCGGACACCTGGAGAAACTCACCCAAACCGGCATGTGCTAGAATCACCCAGTCTCCTGGCTTCACCCTAGTCACACTGCTGCCCACTGCGACCACCTGTCCAACGCCTTCGTTTCCTCCAATGGCAGGTAGCTTGGGAAGGAAGCCATAATTCCCTAAAGGAGAAGAGCACAGGGGGTCATCCAATGAAATGTGGGCCGTGAAAGCATGGACTTTGGAGTCAGATCTAAGTCCGACCTGGGTTCTGCCTTAGAGCAGCTGTGTTACTAACCAACCTCTCTGAGTTTCTTTACAAAGAAACTAAGAGGATAATACTCTTCTGTGTTCATGGTTATTAGGACGATTAGATAAGACAGTGCATGAAATGAGCCCAGCATATCCCAGGTACTTCACTGTGGTTGGTTTACTCCCCACTGCAATATTTCTAACTCTTGAAAAGCCTCATAATCCAGAGAGGGGAGGCCAGAGGGGGACTCACAGTCTGCAGACCGAGCATCTGGAGAACAGCTGTTGCTAATCATAGAGATTTCACACCCACACCTGAAGAGGAATGAAAATGAGGTGACGGCTAAGCAAAAAAGCCAATTAACATAAGCCACAGAAACCAAGGTTACCTTGGATCATATTTATGTCAGATGGATTGATAGGGGCCGCCAGCATCTTCACATGGACATCTGATCCGCCCACAGCAGTTAGCTCCAGGTTCTTCAGTCTAAGCACAAAGCCAAAGAGAGATGTTAATGTCACCCAGGCTAGACAGGGTATCTTTTGCTCAAATCATCTCTCCAAAGTAGGTTAGGCAGCAACATTTTTGAGCTACCACTGTGTGCCCAGGAATTCGGGTTCCGCTAGAAAAGGGTAAGGTGCTGTAAAGAATTAGCACAGGATACAGGTTAACTCTGTCATTAACTGCAAGTAGAAAATCCCTAGTGACCTCTCAACCCCACTGCCCACTCTAGGGCAGAAAAATATTTAAAAACTTCGCTGGCCTGGATTAGCCTTGTATTTTCTAAAACTTGCTTGCTTATCAGAATCACCAGGTATGCTGACTGATACAGATTCTCAGGCCCCAGCTCTGACCTGTGTAACTAGATCTCCAGATAGGGGTACCCCTGGTACTTCTCAGGAACAGGCATAACTGGGAAATCCCAGGCTCCCTGATGGGTTCTCCCCTTATTTGCCTTCTTATAATACACACAGGAAAGAGGAGACATTTCTGTTAGTTGCAGAGGGGGTGAAGGAAGTAGAGAGAGGGCCGTTGTGGTTCAAAAAGAACTCCCTGGGTGACTGTGGTTTACTCCCTGGAGTGATGTCCCTTCCAAATGCGGGCCCTGGTCTGTCAGAAAGGGCACTGGCAAGGATGGAGAGCTGTCTTAGATGTGAAGCCCTACCATGTGACAACTGTGTCACCTTGGGCAAGTTTCTTCCCCACTCTAGGCCTCTGTTTCCCCATCTGTAAATGGGGGTTGGAAGGGGTGGTCTGCACTTGTTCAATCCCAAGAGCCTCTCTCATTTTGAGTCTATATGATAACTCACTTTGCTTGTGGTGGGCCCTAGAAACCATGAGACTAACATCTTTATCCACTGGAACTTTGGTTAATGGGTAAAACCTGCTATAGGCCTTCTCACGGAGGTCCAGTGACAAGGTCCATGTGTGACTTTTGTTCTTTAAAAAAGGAGTCTTTCCAACCAGAAAGCCTGATCAGTGTACTACAGTGGTGGGGCCTCATGACTTTTTATTACCAAATTCCTTTTCTGTCTTTCTCCACACCCCTCAGACTCGTGCTGGCAATGCCTTTCTCTGCCCGAATGTACTTATTAATAATTCTCATTTTTACTTATACTTATTAAGTAATAATTCTCTTTATTTTTACTTACCAAAGGCACAACATTAGGCAACAGTGTCATCGCACTAAACTGATGTAATTCTACCCACTTCCCACAGAAATCTGACCTTTTAACTATACCCGAGGCTCCATTTTGGGCTAAAAGTGTGATTTTCAAGACATCTCTCTACTAATAGTAATAATGGTGGCAGGTTTTTATGAGGTGTTTATTGCACATCAAATCCTGTGTTAAGGGTTTTAAATACATGATCTAAGATGTAACAGTCCTGTGGGCAAAGTATTAACATTCCCATTCTAGCAAGTAAGAAATAGAGGCTCCTGGAGATTATGAAATGTATGCAGGGTAAGATAACTGGTCAGTGGCAGGGAGTCTCTACTTTCAAAGTCAGCGCTCTTATTTACTTTTCTCTATATCAGTATCCTGAAATCAGGCTGGGAACCCCGCCGACTGCCTATAATGACCCCTGGGGATTTGGGAACCCCAATCTGGGAATTCCTGTACCAGATCATGACCAAGGTGAGGGAGGCCATGCCTCACCATGATTGAGAAACAAAACAAAACAAAACAAAAAACAAAAAATAGAAACGCTACAGAAAATGGTTAACCAGGAAAAAGTTGATGACCAGGGCAGAGAGAATAAAGGGCTTTTTTTTTTTCTTTTTAGGTAAATATTAAGGAATGTATATTTTTATATATAGCTGGAGGAGGGCGAGTCTTTGTATAATTATTGTTTGAGTGATTGTCCGTGAGGCATTCTGCTAAGTGCTTTCCATACTGGCTTTCTACTATTATTCTGATTTTATACCTGAGGAACAAAGGCACAAAAATGGTAAATAACTTGTTCAAGGCCACCAAAAATAGTAACTGGCTGATCTGATGTGAACCTGGCAATCTGATGCTGGAGAAGCCAGATGGATAGTGGCTCACCCCAGACCAAGCAGAGGGCAGCAAGGTGAGTACCAGCCAGCAGTGGTGTGTAGGCTTGATCCTTGCTGGGCTGCCATGGGTAGGAGGAAGGGTCAGCAGCTCCCTAGTCTCCCCTGTAGACTAAGCAGGGAGGCATTCTGTGAATGCATGTGTAAGTCTGCATTCCAAAGAAAAATCCTGCTCAGAGTACAAGGACTGTGGACTAGTGGCCTCTTTGTATTATCTGTACTGCTCCTCTCTTGCATTTTGACAGATAATCAGAGTTTTTCTATAAGCCGACAAAGTCCATGCACTTAAGCTAAAGACAATTTTTTTCTCTGCACATTTTCTATATGCTCTTGCCTCAGCTCAGAATTTTTCTATAACTTCTCCATAAAGTGAGAAATTCAGTTTACCCTTTAAGAACTGGCTCAAATTATACTTTCCCTAAGACATCTTTTGTTTTATTTTTATTTTTATTTTTTAGGCGAGGCAACCCTTGGTTGACCTCACAGATTGCAAGGACCTTGTCAGCTTACAATGCCTTATTTTTTCTTTCTTTTTTTTTTTTAACGCCTACAGCACCTGGTCTTCCTAGGTGGTCTCCCATCCAAGTACTAACCAGGCCCAACCCTGCTTGCTTCCAAGATCAGATGGGATTGGGCTTGTTCAGGGTAAACTGGTTGTAGACCTCTAAGACATCTTTTGACCTTCCTCTTGGCTCTGAAAAAAATCGTGTGCTCCATCTTGAGTGTTCCCATTACACAGAAGGGGTGACCAAACCATTTAAGACCATCTTAATTGGGTTCATCACAATGAGGCATGAGTTCACATTCTTTTTCTAAAACTCTTGGGGTGAGATGTACTTCAGAGTGCGGAACCATGTATTATCTATACCCCTCCCCGCCCCATGAGGGCTGGGGAAGTATTCTGTGATCAGACACATTATTTTGCAGCAAAACATATGAATATTCACACTAAGTGGGATGAATAATGGCCATATAGAAACTTCATGTTAGAGATCAGGTTTTGCCTCCAAGACTTATAAAAAAACAAAACGAAACAAAACAAATAAAAAAACAACTGCCAGTTTTCAGAGCTTTTTGGACTTTGGAGTTGAATATGGATCTAGGTCTTTCAGACTCAGTTCAGTGCTCTTTTTACTGACCTTCTAGCTTTGTAGTTAGAATGTGTGGTCTCATGGAGAGCAGAGAACTTTCAGTCTTAGTACAGTGCCTGGGACCAAAACAAAGCTCCATGATTCCTAAAGAAATATGCAAATTATCCAACTTTCTTCTCTAGAGAAAAAATGTGGCATAAAAATGCCAGTCATTTAGGGAACCAGGGTACAGGCTCAAACCATAGGAATTTTGCTATTGAGCTCATACTTGCCCTTCCTGGTTCTGGGCTGTTCAGGAACATGTCCCTGAAGGATGGGTGCAAATAAAAATGGAGATTATCCTTAAAAGAGTTTGGTGTTAGCAAAAACCTATGGCTCTTTTCCTCATAGGAAAGTGCAGATCAAATTTGCAATAAAATTGCACTTCTTAAAAATCTAGATAATCATGGTCAAGATGAGAATATAGGTAGATCTCAGTTCATAGATGAAGAGTAGAGCACGGGTTTGAATCCAGCCTCGGTCAGTTACCAGCTAGATAAACCTCAAAATGCTTGTCTGTGAAGTGTGGATAACACTAGAACCTAATTCACTGGATTAAATGAGTTAATGTACATAAAGCATTTGCTAGAGTACCTGATACATAGTAGATGCTGAAGAAATGGCAGTTGTTATCCGTGGTAAGACTACCCAAGGAAGCCTTTGAAATAATTAGCTGGCTATACTTCTGAAAGGAATCACTGACTCACTGAAATTAAATTTAATTCAACAAATATTTAATGATTGTCAGATAGGGTTTAAATATGAAAAAAAAAATTCATATTTTTTTTCATATTTTAAATAAGAAATTTTTTTTCATATTTAAAACAAAGGGTTTAAATATGAAAAAAAAAAATCTGCTTGGGAGCTCGATGGTGTGGCGACTCACAAATGGGGGAAATGCTACCTCAGAGGCAGGCTTGTGGTGCTAACGCTGAGAGTTTAACCAGCCAGAAGAAGAAAGCAAACAGTGAGCAGAGGGCTTTGGAAGAAGCAATACCTTAGTTGAGGCTCAAAGGATAAATGGTTTACTGGGTGGGCTGAGAAAGGATGGGAGGCTTTCCAGCCAGAGGGAATGGCAAAGAATCTGACCTGACAGTAGGCCGGGCCAACAGGTGTGGGCTGGATTGGAGCCATGGGAATGGAGAGGATTGGATAACCTAGAGTCTCTTAAATAAGAAGCAGCATTGATGTCACTTGGTGACCAACTCCATGTGGGAGAAGTGGAAAGCCTTTGATGGCTCCTGGGCTTCTGGCTTGGGCAACTGGATGGTGAGATGAAGAAAGGGGAAGAACGGTTTGGAGTGGGTTGGAAGCTTGAAGCAGGTGGCCTGCAGTCGGGTACAGAGCAGAGGGCGCTGACATACAGAGCTGTGAGTCAGCTGTGTGTAGGTGGAGTCTAGGGTAGTTGGTAAACATATTTTGGATGATGGCTGTACAATTAAATGACAACTAATGCTGACAGTTTCCTAAGCTCTGGGCATCGTGCTTAACATTTTATATATCCGATGCTGTTTAGTCCTTAAAACACCTATCTGGAGGGTGTTATCTTCCTAATTTACAGATGGGAAACTGAAGCTCAGAGAAGTTAACTTGCCCAAGGTTAAATTGTTACTAAGTGGCAAGACTTGACCTGAAACTTGACTCTGAAGCTGAGACTATTGAACACCAAGCCAGCATTCCTCAGCTCTTTGTGGAATTCTTGTCCTGAGAAATATTATTAGGTATTCCCTGGGGTCCAACACATTTGGCAATGCTGCCCACTAAACCCCCTTTATAAGATTCAGACTGCACATTAGAGT